AAAATTTAAAAAAAAATGAACCCGCGCAGTTTTTAGATTGTATATTGTTTGTCAAAGAGTCTTATAACTTGACTTTTTGCCATTGTTTTCAATATATCCACCTCTAGGGCCGAAACAGTAAAAGATACGGCTATGCGAGGGTAGTTCCTGATTCAGAATGTGTTGTTTTGGGGGGGGGGGTACTTCTTCTGACATTTTACGATTGGACGCCTCCCTGTACGTCTTTATGTGCAACGTGGTCATTTTCGCCGTATTTTCGCGCTGGCGCTGCGCGGAGGCCGAGTGGTACAGTGGGGCCATATGGTGGCGCGGTAGCAATGGCGATGGCCGAGGGCGGGCCCGGGCAACCGGTGCGTTAATTTTCCCACGTAAATTTGAAAAAAAAAAAATTAAAACTCTAAATCGGCTTACCGCCGTGGTGGCATAAAGCATGCTGAGGAAATCGAACTGTTGTTAAAAGTGCTGTCTGTGAAATCCATCTCGGACTTGCGCGTGCCGCTGCCGAGACAACCATTTATTATCCCCCAAGTAGAGTGAGCCCCACACAATAAAAGTATGCGGCGACGAAGCGGGGCGGGGCGGGGGTCCTTCATTGCGACTAATTTGAATTGATATTAATCCCTCCACCCCTCCCTCCCCTCATCCCCTCCGCGGCCCCGTGGACCGAAGGCCTTGCTCCTCGTCAGCCCGCGCTACTCGGTCCATGTTAGTCTTGTAGAGCGAGTAGTGGGTAGTGCGATGCGTCCTGTAATAAGATTAAATTGGGAAAACCCGGAAAAATCGTTTTGATTGTATTACTTTTACTTTTCAGTGACGGATTCATCTCTTTCCGATATTGACGCTGCTCAACAAGGCCCTGCCTGTTTCATCATGGAATTAAAAAGGAAACTGAAGCCTAGTAACCAAAACAACAAGCTCCAAAAGTCTTTGGGATGTACTCTATGCGAAAAGAAATTCTCGCATAATGCCCATCTTCGTACTCACCTGAGAACCCACACAGGGGAACTGCCTTTTGAATGCACCGCTTGCAACAAGAAATTCTCGCATAGTAACAATCTTCGTACTCA